AGCCCCTGTCATAATACAATTTATGTTCAGTGTTCTGGATGCGACTTGAGAGGGCTCTCCCAATGTACTGATACTAAGTATTTCATATAACACTTTAGATACGCTGTAGTTTGTTGCATCATCTAATTCTGTCACAGTATAACCAATACTAACAAGGAGTAGCAATCCTTTTCTTTTTTTAAGGGAGATATTTTTAAGTCTCCCTTCTTCATTTGTGTGTGTTTTTTTTTAAAATGGAAAAAAATGATTGCACAACATCTAGTCTCTTGAAAGGGCATGGAAGAGTGAACAAGCACCACTAGCAATATACCTACGGTCACCTCATACCAGGGGTCTTCTCTGTTGAACCACCTAAATTCCTGTGGGGTAATTTTAACTGACTAATACTCTCTTCCCTTCTCAAATTGCAATCTTACTTAAATTACAAATGTATCAGTGCCTCAAAATATATTCCCATTCATTTTGCAGGTTCGGCAAATATGATAAAATGATTTGTGTTTAAGTGTAAGAGTCACTGTTTTATTTTTTATTATGAATATCATATGTTTGGCAAGCTGTCTGACCTTCCTATGATGACGAATGCTGCAACAAACAATTTGCTGTATCTTTAAAGAAATGGCCAATTCAATTACATTATGCCAGAAGCTCTCAAATCCCTCTCTGCCAAACGTCTTTGCTGTATCCTGCCACAGACAGCCCATTTGTATTCCAGCACAGTAGGACACTTGTTTTATTGAAGCATACAGTTCTACTTAGGTACTATCAACGGAGCACTATTTCAGTGCTCTAGCTCTATGCTCCTTTCTGCCCACTCTAGCCTTGGTTATTAGGATTTTCAATTTTACTCACCAAACGTGTGTGCATTACTAATTATGTGCCTGAAATCTAGTAGCTATCAACTGCTACAACAAAATACATTAGCGACCAATTACAGGATTTTTTGGCAGCACTGGTTACCATTTTAGAGGATTTAATCATTGCACTTAAAGTGAAGCTTGAGATTCCCTTTGAGACTACACCACTAATTGCTTCTGTTTTGCCAGTTATTGCATGAGCTGGTTTGCAAAAAGGATTGCTGAAGATGCTTTCTAAATATCAAAGAGCAATAAACAAATAAATTGGGCAATCCCAGTCTTTAATGAGTTTTTTTTCATCCACCTAAAGAGGATACAAAATATTCATTCATATCACAACTGTATCCCTCCACTGCCACCCCCTCTTGCCACCCCCCCACAACAGTCCCTCTGCCTTCCTTTCTATAATTCTTCTCAATAGTTGGATCACAAAACCAGAATAACCATATTGCTACTCATATGTAGTGCACATTAACTGAAGTCATATTTTCTTTTAAATTTAGAGCAAGTGAAATTTTCTTACCAACTGTAAACAGAATCTCCCACCCCATGCTAATGGTAAACAGTACTTGGGAATTTGTATGATAGCAGGGTGCTCAAAAGGAGTTGGGTCCTAACCAAAAAAGCTACAGATAGAAAACTATGTATTTTATTAATTCAGAGTATCATCATAAAGTAGACTCCTACTCTCCAGGAATCACTAAAAACAAACATTCACCTCTAAAGGAATTAGTAAAATAACATATTGTTCTTTAAAAGCCAACATCTACCTCCAAGTCCCGGACTAGTGATCAATTCTCTCATTTACAGCCTCATAAAGCAGCAGTCTCTATATATTTTAATGCTGAGGCCAACCAAGGGGCATTTGTACATTTCAAGTTTACTGATATACAGGTTTCCAAACACTGAGGAAAGGCTGTGACAATTCGCTTTGGGCTGTGAAATAAAACTAGAAGATTTAATTTAATTAACATTTAGGTCAGCAGACCTAAAATAACAGACTATACGCTGAAGATGGAAAGAAGTCTTCCTTGCAGACATCCATTCTATTACTTCCTTGAGAACCAATGATTTCAACACATGCAACTGTTTAAACTGATTTGTTTCTTTTCATTAAAACTCAGAATATTATACCTTTAGCCTTAAAACCTCCCATTAACAAAAAAAAGTCACTACTGAAAAAAAATTCCACAGAAGATAAGAAAATCTTACAGAAACATCTAATAAAATGCAAATTATTAGGAATTTTCAGTTTCTAAGTTGATTCAAGTCAAATCACAAACTTAATTTACCTCCATGAGAAAAGATATAATAAAAAACAGCCCTAAATCCCCCAGAATGACAGATTACCTGTCATGTCAATTGAACAGAAATACATTTGTATCCTAAAAATTGCTGTCAGAAGCCACAGAATATAATAATAATAATAATCCCTCTGAAATTAACTGTTAAAAATAGCTGAACTGCTATTGTTTTACAGGACAAATAGTCTTTGCTTGGCTGATCAGCAAAGAAAACAAATGCTTTTAAATTATACAATGATCCTTGAAAAATAATGTACTATAACAGGTAATGTTGCACTAACATACTTTATGCTGATGAAAACAGAAGACCAGACTTTCACAAAAGTTCAGCTCTCATTCAAAATGATGTGCCCACTAAAAGCTGCTCGTCATGCACTCCTTTAAAAAAAATCAGTGCTTTCATTTATGTGCCTAAATGGGAAAATCTGGCTTCAGGACTGTAAATTTCAATTTTGGAAAAGAAAAAAAATATATAAATGCCACAATAACCACAAATGAGTGGCAAATAAAAGAGCAAGCTGGGTAAGGCACTAAATAAATTGCTGCAGAGAACAATCCTGTATCAATATGAGGACAGACTAAATCAGTACTAGCTCAGCTCTATGTTTCTTAACTTTTTGCCTTCTTCAGGATTCTACAAAGGGCATGCACGGCCTTCACATGCTTAGTTTTCCAGAGAACTACACCAGCTACATCTCTGTTTCAAGGCAAGACAAATGCAACTACATATTCTTTGCAAAGAATAGCTGATTGACAATTTTTTTTTAATCTGACAAGCTTCTTTGTCACATGGAAGAAAAAAAAATTAAACTATAATTCTAGAGAGACTCTATTTCTTGCTGAAATTCTAGTGCAACACTCAAAATGACAAAGTGTGAACAATGCAGAGAAAGAAAATGAGCTTAAAATGAATGGCCGAATTTATACAAGATCCAAATCCTAAAGGTCAAGGAATACCTTGTCTTTCACTATTGTCAAAAGCAATACACTAAAATATGCAAAGATGGACTGAAAACATTCACAACTGTGCAAGTACAAAAGTTAAGAAAAAAGGGGAAAATATCTCAATGCTGTTGCACTAGAAATGTAACTGTTAAGCCAATTCTTATTTTAAAAATGTGCCAGTGTTATTTAAGAATACTGTATTCCACTCCTTTAAAAAACTTTACACTTGTGCACCATTATCTCAGGATTAGATGCTGGAGCTGGATCCATAGTGATGCAAAAGGCATGCACCATTTGCAAGAATCATCCCTTCAGTACTGACTATAAGTGTACATGAAAACAACCCAGTCAGTTTGAATGCAGAGACTCATAAACAATGTTTGACATACAATCAAAACTGACCTTAAGTGAAGTCTTAAATATTTCACAGTGAAGATAAGGATCCATGCTTCTGCTGTGTACTCGTGCAACACATCGTGAAATCAAAATCTTAAAGCTTATTTAATTTGGAGTTTGTTACAAGAAGTTTCACACTTGATTCTTTTAATAGCATAAATGAATAGAAGACATTGACACTTCCATTAGAAAAAATACAGTTAATACTGTAGAGGACTAAAATATATTTTCTTACATAGTTATACTGCATGTATCAATTTCTTATTTAAAATGTACTGAAAACACAAATCTGATTAAGCTATGATAATGCTTTGGAATAAACCACATTAATATGAGTATAGACCAGATTTGAACAAAAGGCAAGAAACACCATTAGAAGCATTTTTTGTAAAAGGTAACGCAGGAAGAATAATATATATATTATATAGAAGAATATATAATATTCATCAGGTATAAATGAATATAAACCTCTCAGGATGAAAAATATGATTTTCATTAGCATTACCAATTACCGAGCTGCTACCATGGATAAGTGCTAAAACTTTGACATTCATTTAAGGGAATTCTAACTCTTGTCTCTATGTTAAAAACACATACTCAACAGAAAAGTGGTCAGTACTTAGCTACTCATTCAAAAAACCCTAAAGGATTACAATGAATCCGTTAGGCCTCTAATATTACTTAATCTAACCATAATAAGTTTTTAATCACCTTTCCCTGTAAACTGGAAAGTTGTCAGGCTTGTCCCAGGGCTCAACAGTAATTGTTTCTGCTGCCATGTAGGACACTAGGTGTGGTTCTTGGATTCTTGGTTTCTGTTTCTACATCTATGAATGGCAGAAGCCTAGGAATCTTTGCCACGATACTCAGCCCTAGCAGTGAAAGAGCACCCTTTTGTTACTAAATGTTTCAAATGACAGTAGCTTTCCCCTCAATCAATACAGCAATGAGAAGCTACTCTCTGCAATTTGCTAAATTGTTATATTAGCTCACCATTTTCTCTTACATTCTATTCTTTGTCCATTTTTGCTCCCTGATATTCGAATGCTTCCACTGTAAACCCTCAGCTCTGCAAACTCTTCTGCGCTTTATTCCCAATCCAGCAAAGCATGGGCTTAATTTTAAGAAAACATTGAATTAAACATTTATTCTCAAAATAAAATAAAGATAAAAATAAAAGGAATTTATAAAAGCAAAAACAACCCATGATACCAGAAACATGTGAGCTACAATCTTGTTCTGCATTTAATTTTATACAGACTTTGAAGATGGAAGTAAAAACAAGGCCTGTTATGAAGTGTTGAAGGTTTTATACAACATTTTATTAAACTGGCCCAAATATTCCTTTCCCATTTCATTCCAAGAAACCATGAGTCATCTTCATAATTTCCAGCATGTAAAGCCAATATAGTTAATATTTACTTTTCAAGGAAAGAAAATCTTTAAAAGCTGACACTAATGTCATTATGTAACAAAAATTTCCATCCAAACTTTCACTTACCCGGGGCAAATGTAGCTGAATCCCCAGTTTCCCTCAACTTTTCCCTTCAGAGCAGTACTCTCTTCCTTGGGTATCTCTAAATGACAAAAAGAAAACAAATCCAAGTTTCACACAAGTCCTCTTAAAGGCTAGGGGCAAAAGTTACACATAAACCAGTTTGTGATCAGAAACTGATTTAAACCTGTAACAGAATAGAAGTTCAGTGCACATAAACCAGTTTCAAAATGGCTGAAACTGGTCTAAGATAAACCTGGTTGAACGTCGTATCAGAGTTAACTGATTTGGGTCAAAATGATTTATAGAACTTGTGTCCCAAACCCCTTCCTGGTTTAAGTTAAACCAGAGTCTCCTAGCATCCCAGCCCTGGGCTGTGCTGTGCTGTGCTGTCCGCTCCAGTGAGTAGGGCTGACCCCACCCCTCTGCTCTCTAGCCAGAGCAGGGGTGGGGGCATGGCCAGATGCCAGCCCAGCATGGCCCCCTAAGGCTAAGGAGGCAGGAGGGGATTTACTCCTTTCCCTCCCTTCCCTCTCCTCCCAGGGACCACAGCAGGGTGTGCCTGGCTGGGTGGAACAGCTCCTGTCAGGGTAACGCCTCCTCCCCTTGCCACTACAGCAGCAGGGGCAGGGGCATGGCCAGAGCCTGCCAGCTGGCATGGCTCCACCATGTGCCTGCCTCACCCACAACTGAGGCTGGGGCTGGGGCTGAGGCTGGGGCTGGAGGGCTGAGCTACGCCAGCCTACAAGTACTGGTGAGGGCAGGCATGGAAGGGCCAGTCTGGGCTGGGATGCAGGGGCAGGGGCAGGGGCAGTGCCCTTCCCAGCCAGCTGCAGCTCTGTGACAGCCTGGCCTGGCAGTATGGGTGGTGGCACGTGTGGTGGTTGGCAGGCTCAGAGGCAGCTCCCTACCACAGGGGCTCTGTTCTGCTCCCTTCACCTCCAGGTGTGACTCCTGCTCCTGCCATACCACACCACTTCAGGTGGGTTGAAGCTTCAGCCCGGTGGCTTCTGCTCAGCACATGGAGAGCTAGCTCCAGCTCTCAGCTGCCTTCCATCCACTCTGCCCACCAGGCATGATGAGCAGCTCCTGCACACAGGCAGCATGGGTGGAAGGCATTTGGGAGCTGGAGCCAGATCTCCATGAGCTGGGCAGAAGCCCCCAGGCTGAAGCTTCAGCCCACTTGGAGCAGTGTGGGGTGGCAGGAGCAAGTCACAGCTGGAGATGAGGGGAGCAGAACAGTTCTGCTGGCCCCAGCAAGCACGCAGTTTGGGGTGCAGCTACATCCGGTGCCACTGCAGCCCACCAGGTGCTGCTGTGCTCCCCTCACCTCCAGCAGCTCCTCCTCCTCCCACTCCTGCCCCTTTTGTGCTGTTCTGGGTGGTGGGGAAGGGTAGGGGGAATATTCAGCCCGGTGGCTTATTCCCAGTGCATGAAGATCCAGCTCCAGCTCCTAGACACCTTCCATCCACTCTGCCTGCCCGCAAGGACTGGTCAACATGCTGGAAGGTGGAGTGGATGGAAGGCAGCTGGGAGCAGAAGCCGCCAGGCTGAAGCTTCCCTCCCGCCCACACAGAGTGCCATGGAAGGGGGAGGGGCAGCAGCAGCAACAGCAGTGGCAGCTGAAGGTGAGGGAGGCAGAACAGCCCCATTGGCCCTATCCAGTGTGCAGCTTGTGGTGCAGCTGCAGCCAGCCACGTGCTGCACAGTGAGGGACAGGGGTTGTGGTGGTAGCTGTGGGCACACAAACCCCTAGCAGGTGGCTGCCATGGTCTGGGCCTGCTGTTGCCTCTGAGCCAGTCTGGGCAGCCTGCTGCCTGGCCAGCCACCACCCATGCCAGCATGCCAGGCTGTCATGGAGCTGCAGCTGGCTGGGAAGGGCCCTGCCCCCATAGCTTAGCCTGAGCCAGCTCTGCCGGTCCCTTCCCAGCCAGCTGTGGGTTAACAACATCCCTGCCCAGCCTGGGCATGGGGAGCTGGGAGCAATCCAGCCACCCAGCTGTCACAGACCTAGCCCAAGCCCAGCCTGCTGGGACGGGCCCAGCCCTTGTGACCCAGATTGTGTTGCCCCACCCCATCTGCCCTCAACAGTGCCCATGGGCCAGTTTGGCTCAGATCTACAGCCCAAATCCCAGCCCCACAGCCCCAGCTGGGTAGCTGGCAGCCCTGGGTGGATGGCAGGGGCATGCCTGCTGGCTCTGACCAGGCCCTCTGCTGTGCAAGCTGCAAGCAGAGGGGAAAGCTGAGCAGACTATGCCCATGTCCAAGAGAGGAGATAGGGGAGTTTAATCTCCCTGCCCTACTTCACCTGGGGCACTGCCCATGCTGGTGTCTGGCTTCAGGGACAAGCCTGGCAAGGGCTACTTCCCTCCTTCCCCTCCAGGCACACCTGGGGTGGGGTCCTACAGGCCAGGGTTTAAACCCCTCCCCAATCATACTCAGGCCTGCCGGGGCCTGGCTACATCTGCCTCCCCCGCCCCCTAGCACAGCTTCCCTGCAGCCCAGGGCTTGCTTTAGCACCCCCTGGCTTCTAGCCTAAGACACTGCAGACACGTGCCTGCATTTCAGGACTCAAAAGTGAATGTCTATTCACTTGCAAATCGGTTCAGTCTAGACAGGTTAGACTAACCTGCAAAGATTAAATCAATTCAAGCTCAGGCTTTTTGAATGTCCCTAGCCAAAGAGTTCAGAGTTTATCCCAATACTCCCATGATCCAAAACTGTCAGCAGTTAAAAGTGCTAGATATCTGACTTGATCCCAACCATTTACTTGACCAGAAAAGACCAAAAATAAACCTTCCTTAAGTCATTCTTTGTGTAGAACCAAGCAAAAACAGTACAGAATTTTTTTGAGTGAAAATAAGCGCATCTTAAAGGCAGATTACAAGATGGAAGTATAAATGTACTAACTGAAAATGGCTTATTCAAAATTCTATTGGCCACATATTTAAATTACCTGAAAATCGTTATTGCTTAAAGTGGAAATCCTATGTATTCAATTAACTTTTAATGAATTGTGAGAGGTTTGTGTGGATAAGGCTTGTGGAGGGTCATTGGATTTTTGTTTTTGGAGCCCAAGAAAAAAAAGATCATCCTACCTCTGCACCATAGTTAAAAAAAACATTTTCAAAGTATGTTATTCAACCATATGGAGTTAATCTTTGCACACATATGGGCTAGGCATAGACGTTCAAAAAGCCTGAGGCAGAATCAATTTAAGTTTTGCAGTTTTTTGTTTAGTGGCATAGTTTAGATCCGTAGTGAGCAGAACACACATTCACTCTTTTGTTGGCAGGGGAGGGGAACCAAATCTTAGACTGGTTTAAAAATGGCAGAACCCAGTCTGTGTGTGTGAAACTTTTGTTCTGTTATAGGTATGGACTGGTTTCTGATCCCTTATACTAGTAAATGTGTAATGTCTGTACCTGGCCATGGAGCTTTAATTAAGCATTGCTCTCCACAGACACAAGAGTCCACCTGCATGGATTTAGTTAAAGAATTGGCATGTTTGAAGAAAATGTTGTAGAAATGGCTCTTCCTGCTTTTTCTCACCCATTGAAATAATTATTATTAAACAATAACCATAACATTACTTTTAACTATGTTCACAACACAGGGCCAAAATTTGGAGGCCAAATGGAAAAAAACCCAGAGTTAATATTAATCTGAATTACTTCATCAGTAGTAAAAATGGCATTGTGTCAAATGAGAGAAAATGATAGTTTATCATTTATCAATTTCTTTGATGAAAGGAAAATAGTAAATTCATAAAGTGATGCTTAACGTGTAACAAATATTTCAAATAATAAACACAAATATCTTGTTTTTATTTTTCCTTCACATGTCATCCAGTTGACTTCTAAGAAGAACCACAGAATATAGCAACAAAACTATATATGCAGGCACACATCTACATTAAAAGAACGTTATTTAGGTAGCAAAATCAAGCACTTGAACATTGGAAAGTTCCAGATTTACAAATACACATAAGACCACAATTCTGTTCACTTGTCCAACTAAGTCATGTGTCTTCTGGGAAAAAAAAATCATATAATTAAAAATTGTGTCCTAATACATTTACACAAATAGAAGTTCCACTTCAAAAAATCCCTAAAATTACTGTCAAATTGTTTACTAATAGTTATAAAATATAACTGCACCAAAAGGACACTTTTTAAAACTCTATTTGTTTTGTGTTAATTACAGAATAGTTAATCATAAAATAATCAGAAAGACTATAAAGACAGCATACAGATGAGTAGACTAATTTTAGTTACAATTGAGAATCATTTTATGCATACATGCACGCACACAAGGCTACAAAACCACATACATATAAAAGGTAGGAAATCCTAGAATCAGGTTTATTAAAAAATTTTAAAAGTTCTGTTTATGTGACTTATACCTAATATCACACAGAAATTTATGTCAGTCAGGGGCAGAATTCAGTTCTCCAGGACAATATTCAACTGCTATAACCATTAAACCATTCTTTTTCTTCTTGCAGTCCCCTACCTCATTCAGTGTACACCTTTGAACCTCTGTAACAAATTAAACTGTATAATCACCTTGCATTGTCACACAAGGAACCAAATTAAAATATTACAGACGGGTTTAATTCAGCCATTTCTTAACTGCTGAGTGCTTAGCTTGCAACTTTAACAATGTTCTTCAATGCAGCTTTTAACTTTCCTAGTTTACTTTAAAGCAAACTAAAAAACCACAGAAATTCCCTTCTGTGATATTTGGACATTCACAGGCCATCACGAGGGTTAGTACCTTCAGGCATACTGTGAAGATCTCAGTTCTTTGCGCTAATGGGCAATTGGTAGCCACAGTAGAATGCTATCCTCTATGTGAACAAGCAGCAAAAGGAAAAAAGGAAATCATACCAATGGGTTCAACAGATATTTGTAGACTGCAGAGTAATGCTAAGACTCCCAGATCCTGAGTCCTGTTTCAGGCTCTGAAACAGGCTGTGCTCTAATCATACTGGGTGCATCTACACATTCATTAATGCACTTTATGTAATGTGCATTAAATCTAGCACCTCCATTGTAAAGTACTAGAAAAATGTGTATT